CTAAAAATCAGTCACTTTTATTTCATTTTGTTTGTTTTTAATCTTTTCACCTTCATGGAGGCATTAAAGCGAACAAGACAGAAGGGGTTACTTAATGTAAGCGAATATGATAAAAAGAAAACCTTATTAAGGAGAGAGAACAATAAAAGAAAAGGAAACAAGAAAACAGAAGATAACAATTAACATGGCATATACATTTTTGAACATCAAAGTTGACTAGGAAGCAAGAAGCGGGAAGAAAGTTCCACAAGTGATAAGTACGATAGGAGAAACTGTTATCATAGAACTTACGGTAATATCTAACGATTTTAACTTGAAATCTAGCCGCCAATTGCTATTAAATTGCTCTAAAATTCATAAAGTCTAGGTACCATAGGGCAAAGTTCATCAGAACAGTTACCATGAGGAAGGTACGGGAAAGCTACGTCATGACGGTGGGAGAGTGGCTGAAGCCAAGATACTAGGGTAGGACCAAAAACATTGCAGATTACTCTTTGTATTTTATCAAGAATATTTAAATACATAGAAGAAGCACAAGACCAAATATGGCAGCAATACAAAATGCATGGGCAAGTGGTAGATTTATATATGTCTAAGATAGATTGGAGTTGTCCTTCTCCTATACTGGCTGCCAATCAAGGTAGGGAAGTTGCCTCTGCTATTTAACCTATAGTTTAGAGAAAAATGCATTCATATTTTTCTCAGGGACATCTGTTGGGTCGCCGATTCAATCTTCACGCTCTCACACAGTAAATTATAAAAAAAAGTTTCTCTGTCTGTCTGTCTGTCTTTCTCTATGTGCCACATTACTTCAGGACGCAGGAATCTATAGTTCCTCACAACTTGCTTCTATCAATACTTGCTCCTTTGAAACGATTTCTTTTACTTCGTGTTCCGTCATCCATTTGTCCAATTTTATCAAGCTTGTCAATCGCCGCTTCTCTCAGTTTCAAGTATATTAGAATCGCCCTGTTAGTGTTAAATTTTCCAAATCTTCTTTTCTTACTATATATTCCCAATATGTCAGTTCTCTCGTTCCGATTTAGCACGATTCTAACTTTCTAAATTATCTACAATCGATTTATAAAATTTACCCCATAATATTTGTAATCTTTTGAGTCCATATTATTATGGAATACAACCGGTATGAAATTGAGCGAAAATATTTCTATTATGACTTTCAACCCTAGAAACTCACAAATATTAATTTAAGCAGAATTCCTGATTTGTTTAGCACAACCATCATAAAATTATCAAGTAGAAATCTATGACGTGGAACACCTTATGGCTACAGTAGTTGCATCTCTGACATAGAGACCAGAGATAGATGCTCGAACTCCAATAAAAATCCTGCATTTAAAAGAGTGATTTATTAAAGAGACAGTACTTGGAAGGACGACTCAATAATTCTATTTTATTCTTATCTGACGTTAATCCAAATTTAATAAACTAATCTAAGTTAACATCAGTCAGACAGCTTTTTCTCCAGAATTGTTACTTTGTGTAACAAACTCCCGAGAGGATGCTTCCCGACAACGACAATCTTGGTCAACCGATATTTATGATCCACGTCCTCATATTATGCACATCTTACTTCCTACTTCTCTTCCCTTACAACAATTTCGCTCAGTAACACTCTACTTTGAGTGCCTCTTGTACCTTTTATTGCATAAAATAACACTAAAAAAGAGAACATTTATAAATAACGTAGGAAGCTAAGCCGTGTTAAATCAGAAAGAAAGAGCTGGAATTTTGGTGATATATAATAAGAAAAGAAAATTTGGAAAATTTAGAACTAACTGGACGCATCTAATATACTTGAAACAAAGAAATATTGTAGTCTTCAAAATGCGAGGTATTCTAAAATCCTACCAAAAATTTAAAATACCGAAAAACAAAATCAATATCAATGTAACGTATTATCAAGAGACATTTTAAATATTTTAGTAGATACATAATTGTTGAAACTTGAATAAAGCATGGAATAATAATAATACAACACAAAATGTACTTAAGCAAAATGTATTGACACAAGAACGTGTACACAATATTTACAGATAGTTTGGTATATTCTTGGGAAGACTGTTCCTGTAGAATGGGTTGACTTAGTCGCAGTCGGTCAGAGTCTCTGGATTGGATCTCTTCTTCCTACCTCGTCTTCCCGGTACCAACCATATTTATATGGTCAGTACTCCACTATGTAAATTAGGTGGATCCTACCACAACAATAATATATACATTAATTATAACAAAATATACATTTGCTATAACAAATTTAGTATAGGAGATAAGGAAATTGAACACAGAATAGATTACACTTATAGGTATTTTCACCCAACATCATAAATTGCTCTTGAACCAAAACACTAACCTAAAATTTGAGTCAATTTCGTAAATAACCTCGTCAGATCGAAATTTTCATATGTATAGCATGTATGTCACAGAAACCGATCAGAAATATTTAAACTGTCAGCTGTATACAGCCACTTTCTCAGATCAATGTTTAAAAATGTTTTCATCAAATGAAACTTGTAGGTCTTTGTGAAGAACAGGCTTCTTCAAACCATATAGTCTGGTGCTGCACAATCACAACCAAAGAACTGTACCAAATAACAGTAATATTGAAATAATAAATGTAATTATTTGTGTTGAGTACTACATCCAATACAAAAAGGTAAATGAATAATTAAATAATTATTTGCTGTTTTCGTAAGAAATTTTGGCCAGATCAATTCCTTTCTATGTCAATAATCTATCAAATCAGGTTAATTAATTAATTAATTAGATGGAGGTGAAAATGCTTATATTTCATTAATTTTTGGTAATATTGTGATCATAATTTTCAAAATCTTAAGTGGCATTTAAGACCCGCTAGTGATTTACAAAGGAGGCCACATATGGAGCAAGTGTGAGAATTGTGAGATGAGATCACTGTTAGATTGGCTGACCTTTTAGATCTTGCTCTCGGTTCTTGAAGATGATTCAGACAAGCAGAATGAAAATGGCTGAGTCCACTAAAACACGTTGATCTCCATTCTACCTGCCTCTAAAGCTAAGCGCTCAAAGGGATATATATATATATATATATATATATATATATATATATATATATATATATATATATGTGTGTGTGTGTGTGTGTGTAAACACAGGGTGTAGCAGTAAAATTGTCCAGATCCTGTAACAGCAAAATTATCCAATAGTTAAATTAATCTTTGAACTGATGTATCTTAAAATATATTATTATTATTATTATTATTATTATTATTATTATTATTATTATTATTACAGGATCATTATTCAACTTATTCAAGATTATCTTTGCCCTCTTTTAGCATCTAACTTTCTGTCCTGTTTCTGCTCGTGGGCTTCTATAAAAAGAGGTGGTAAAAGTGTTGTCACTGTATTCTACGAGAACGTCTAAGAATGGGAGTTTTTTTTTTTTGTTTTTTTTACTATGTTCGTAAGAAAAGTTATTAAAGACAGAGTTTTCTTTTGCAAATCTACATGTAAAAAAAGATTTAAAATAATGGCATATTTAATAATAAAAAAGAAAAGTCAACACTCAGTAATATTAACTACGAACACGACAGTAATGTGCCGACTGTTTTTGAAAAATAAAACATCTCTATAACTAACTTATAACTCTATAACACGCATCTCTACAACTAACTTATAACTCTGTACGACACATCCCTATAACTAACTTATAACTCTATAGCACACATCTATAACCAACATAACTCACATCTCTATAACTAACTTATAACTTTATAACACACATCTCTTTAACTAACTTATAACTCTATACGACACATCTCTATAACTAACTTATAATTCTATACCACACATCTCTATAACTAACATAACTCTATAACACGCATCTCTGTAACTAACTTATAACTCTACAACACACATCTCTATAACTAACTTATAACTCTATCACACACATCTCTATAACTAACTTATAACTCTATAGCACACATCTCTATAACTAACTTATAACTCTATAACACGCAACCCATACATCCAATTAAAAAGTAAAAATAAAATCATTCTTGATAATGGCTAAAAGTATAGCCGAATGCTCTCGTAATTGAACAGTTTCTACACACTCTGTATCCAGAAAAGAAAACACTTGTTCGAACACAAAAAATGAAATAAAAAGCTTTATCACAGTACCTTGTCTGCTATTCTTATTGAGACATGTTAAATGAGGGATTGATTGAGATATATATATATATATATATATATATATATATATATATATATATATATATATATATATAAAATCTGAATCTTGCCAGAAAGCTGAAAAAATGTTGGTCAAAGTAAGAGTTTTGTCCCTCGTTAATTATTTACTTATCTCTCTTTTTTTGAGAACTTTACCAAATGGATGGTAGAAATGGAAATCAGAAGAAATGGAAGAATATTCAGAAGTATCGAGGAGATTACTGATATAGTGAGTATATTGTTGTCACTTTACCTCCAATAAAAGCCACCAGTTACTAATGACATGAAAAGTCAGTGAGTAAAAATAATACTAACAAAAGAACATGTACATTTTTATTGATGTCACTTTGTTAAAGAGAAGCTGGAAAGAATGAAAAACAAAAAGAGAGATTCTTTTCGTCAAAGGAAAATTCGTTCAATAAGAATGATCCAAAATGAATCAGAGGAGTCAATATATGAGTGGACGATGGACACTCCAGTTTCTTCATGGAAATCCTTTCTCCAAAACATTCAGATTCCGAGAAATCTCTATGAATTAAGACCATAGACACGCAAAAGACGAATCTCGCCGATATCGAAGTAGCCAATCAGCTTTTGTTATTCAAATGAAATGAATAATTACAGTCTGTGCGTGCTGAGCAACGTGGCTGATACACCAGAGAGGAGCGGTTTTATGGCGGGAATTTCTTTGTGTGGATAACAGGATACACTGCCAGGGATTTCGTCTTAGCCATAAACCTTGGCAATTGCTTAAAGTCAAGAGAGACATGGAAAAAGGATAATATTGAGAGAAGACAAAAATGAAAAAAAGAGACAAGTAAAGGAAGAACGGGTGATAATGGCTGAGAAAAAAGAAGACCCTAGTAAAAAGATAAGAGTAAATAAAGGAAACAGAAAAGATAAGAAGAAAGAAAGAAAGGAAGGAAGGAAGAAAGAAAGAAAGAGCAATTGATCTGAACCTAAATGAGCAAAAAGGTGTTGAAATCAATGAGACAAAAATGAGAAACGCAGTAATGAATGAATGAATGAATGACTGAATGAATGAATGAAGCTTGAGTAAAGATGAGGGTTTGGAATGAAATTAAAAAGTCATATGGAAACCCAATAAAAGCCTGAATGAATTAAGGGACATAAAGTCAATATTAAGAAGGTAATGATGTGGAATGATGAAAGATAAAAAGAGAGAATGAATGACAGTATAAGAATAGGGGAAAATAAATAAAAAAGAAAGAAAGAAAGAAAGAAAGAAAGAAAGAAAGAAAGAAAGAAAGAAAAAGAAAATGAAAGAAAGAAAGAAAAAGAAAATGAAAGAAAGAAAGAAGTCATTCAAATGATAGAGAAGGTTAATATGAATTAACAGACTTTTGGACAGAGTGGTTATTATAAAGAAAGACAGGAAGGAAGGAAGGAAGGAAGGAAGGAAGGAAGGACAGTCAGTCAGACAGACAGACAGTCAGATAGACAGACAGAATACCCTCCAGGGAATATATAGAGAAACTGAAAACAAAAGGCACTTACACGTGAGAAAACAATCAAGGGATGAATTAGGAAAATTCTATAATGATTTTTTTCCCACAAGTTTTTATTTTATATTTATTTTTTTTTTTTTATCCTTTTCTATTTTATATTTTGCAACTGCTATATTAATGGTTGAATGTACATCCCCACTCTCCTACCCTTCATTTATTCAAAGCGGAGAACAGGGGCTTCCGGAGGAAAACGGATCGATTTTTGCCAAAAAGTATCAAGCATCATTATATATTCTATATTGAAATTAGGCCCTTTTTTTTTATCTGCTTGAAGTTAAGACTGTCGAATAATTCGTGCTTACGATCCAGAAAAAGATAAAATGATAAAAATATGAGTAGATGATTGCTTCATTAAATTTAATTCTATTTAGGGTGAATTTTCTGTCAATATCCTAGCCTGCCGAGTTCCCGCAAAAAGTCATTATCATCAAATATAGATATCAGACATCGATTTAAGAAATTCATTGATGAAAAATCGAGCATCATCATCATCATCATCAATTACAAATTAACAATATTTGTGCATTTCGGCGTGGCGTAATAGTTAACAAGATTGTCTGGCTAAAGCAATTGCGACTGAGTAGTTATTTTGATCCTCGCTGGGTGCCCCGTACTTTCGGCCTTGTGCCACATCTAAGCTACAAATTAACAGTATTTGAATAAACGTAACTGATTTTTTGTAATATTGTAAATGCAAAATAAAATAGTTTTAGAAGAACAAAAAGAACAACTTACAATTACGTATAAAATTTAATTTAAATTATTAATCCGAAGAATACATGATTAAAAATGAAAAGGAATTATTGTAGAGAAGAAGATTCAGATGTTGTACAGATTTTAGTACCTGAATATGCTTGCAAAATCTTTACTAGCATTGTGAGACTAGAAGGTTTGTAAAAGTATAAACAATTTGGTAAACTTTAACCTTCGTTCCCACAACAAAAAGTTGCATCAAAAGAACGGGTTTTCCCTTGACTCTACTATTATTTTAATTACCTTCACTCCGTCGTCAATTTTTGCTGTTTTAAAAAGTGATGATTAGAATTTTAATAAAGCCAAAACATAAAAGTGAATTTACACATTTCTTTTCTGTTCTTTGATAATTTGAAACAAAAATATTAAACACTATCTATTACATTGTTTATTTACAGGAATAATTTTACATTTACAACATTCTAAGACTGCAAACTAATTAATACAATGTATTGATTATCATTTATCAATATATAAAGAAAGAAATATAAAAATAAGGTTACTTTTTTTATTAGTAACAAAAAAATTTAAATAAAGAGATAACGACGAGTAACTAATTTCAAATTTAAAAAAAAAAAGTACTTTCCAGACATTTTTTATGCAGCAATTCATTGATGCTTTTATAAAATTATGAATAAAAAACTTGTTTTCATAGTTATTTATGAAATGGTAGATAATAAATATTGTATTGTACATGATTTAGATATTTTGATAATTTTGTAATTCTTAAATTTTTTTGAATATTTTTTCTTTATAAAGTGATAAATAATAAAAGATCAATAATAAATATCGTTTGTACTTGGTTAAAATATTTTTATGATATTGTAAATAAATATTAGCTGAGAGTAAAGTTAGTACAAAATAATAGCGGTGTCAAAGGAAAAACTGTTCTTTTTTTATACACCCTTTTTTGTGTGTAAGAATTTTAAAGTTTGCTAACGATTCTTTAAACTTACTATGGTTTTCTTAGAAACCAGCCTTCAGT